AAAGTAAATTAACAAGAAGAACTACCAATTAATGAAGAATGAAGGTTTGAATTTATAGTTTGATTCTCAACTTTAGCCTTATTAGATTTAAAACAAATCTCATGTAAGACCAAGATTATCTGGTCTTGAAAGCAATTTTAGTAGTAGAACCTCCATGAGAAGACACCTCTCTATAAAGATTTTGCATCATTTTTACTAATTAAGTATTTCTCTGGCAAGAGGACACCTCTACCTAAAGGACACTTTGGTTACCTTACTAATAGATTATAAGACCAGAAATGTCTGGTGTGTCAGAGGCGATGGCCAGGGCAATGAGGTTCTTCAGGCCATTGGCCAACATGTGGGGTGCAGACACCAGAGATGGGTATCCCACACTAAGGCACACTCCAGCCAGCCTGGCCACTCCATTCATGAACTTGGCACGCAGGTCATCATGGGTGATGTCCAGCACCTCGGGGGCAAAGATGGTGCCGGAGTCGTACACTTACCTGAGTAGCTGCCAGCCCATTGGCCACCACAATGCCGTTCACTGAGGTCTGCACCTGGCCTGTGATGAGCATGTTCTGCACCGGGGTGGTAGTTGGCAGCTCTATCACTGTCTTCACCACTTCAACCTTCTCCACCTCTGCCACTGCCACCTCCCGGATTTTCTGCACACACACACGACACTGTACAGTACAACACCTTGGTTAACTAGATCCAGGTAAAAAAAGACAAATCCAGGGGGATCTAAGCAGGATGACTTTCTCGTTAGCTGTAGCAATAAAAGGCACAGGACAACAATTGAATTAACAAGAACAAATCAATAAATGTGCTAGTGTAAAAAAAAACATGCCTTCGTTATAGAGGGAGCAGTACCTACCTTAACTTCAGCTTTTTCAATGATGGGGGAGAGATCGGTGGCGTTAACGATAGAGACGTTGTCTGGGAGTTCGTCATTCTTCTTGTCATTGATGTCAATGATGGCCCTCTCAATGAGGTGGGGGAACATCTGCTTGTGGTCCCCCACAAAGAAGGTGTCTGGCATATAGGCCAGCTTTTCAGAGTACTGGAAGGCAAGTCGGGTGGGGGAGGTCACATTGTCTGTGATGATGTAGTCCATGAAGGGGGCGCCACTGGTGCCAGGGTAGCCCAGCCACATAACCTGGATGGGGGCCGGCTTGAGGGCAAAGATCTCATTGCGAGCTCCCTTGGTGTAGCCATTCATGTTGACCAGGATGTGGATGCCATCTGCATTGATGCGGTCGGCAGCCTTGCCATTACATTGGACCTGGAACCAACAGCCGCTGCTTCCAGGGTAGTTCACACAAAGATTGTTAGAACTTACCAGAGAAAGATCTGCAAAATGTTCAGCCTCTGCTGCAATCTTGGACCGGAAAGTGGTCCCATCATCTGGACTTAGGGCATAGCAGAAAATCTAGAAGCATAGAAATTTAGAAAGGGAGGGAGGTTTAGACAAATGGGTGTCAAATCTCACCTCAACATTATCCCTATTGTGCATGCCAGGCACACTTTGCATGAGATGGGAAGTGGGGTGGTTGCCAAAATCAGAGCTCACATAGCCAATTCTGAGGCGGGTACCAATTGCCTTGGGGTGTGGGTAAGGTGGCTTGTGGAGCACCTGGATCTGTAACATTCCATGAGTAGTAAATATCACAAGATTGGGAGAGGAACAAGGACAGTTGAAGGTAGTCAGGGAAAGACTTGAATGGGGAATATATTAGGTGGGTAATGGATTTGGATGAAAAAGTTCTGGAGGATAAAATGAATGGAAAGGGAAGAAGAATTGAAATGATGGGCGCCAGTGGAAAATAGGAACTGAAGAATAAAATAGAGTGAAGTTGTGCCAAGATGGGAGGAATTGATCCACTTCAGTTGATAGCAGTCACAAGTGATCCAGATAGTAACACCTGCTTGATCCAATCAATGCATCAAGAAGGAGAAATGTATCTGACAAATATTTTGGATATTTTGGTAAATGATAATTTATTATTTTACCTATAGAGTGTAGTTTTTTTCAATTTGTTTAAGAAGAGTGTTTGGGAAAGTTCAAGAAATGTTCAAACCAATAATCCTGCAATTTCAAAAGTTAATGGGAGTGTGTTACTATAAGAGCAGTTTGAGAGAATCACAAATTTTATTTTTCTAGTATCCATCAAAGTGTTATTTCATATGATATATAGGACAAACTTGCACAGAGTTAGTGCTATAATTTTTTTGTGGGGGAGCACCTTGGATGGAACAAACACAAGAAATGTGGGAGAAGCACATGGGACAGTTGGACCATTTCTGCAGCTGGAGGGACATTTTAAAGCCCTTTACAACTTTTTCTATTGCTATATAATGTTGTTTCAACATGCTTCTTATAAACCATTGAATAAATACAAATTATTAGAAGAGTCAAGACCAAAAAATATAGGCTCTGTGATTGAATGACCAATTTAACTTGCACGACATTTCTCTAAAATAGGAGCTGATGAAATTGTAAACAAAAGTTGATTTGCTCAATGATTTGGATATTTTATTCCAGGTGGTGTTTATAAAGACTCACCTTCTCAAGACAGAGGTTGGCATGGCGGGCAGCAATGGCCTTCCTGAATTCATGGGAGAGGGGGTAGAGCATACTGTGGTGGGGGTGGACAGATGGCAGTCTGTTCTTGTCCAGCTGGTCCGCCACAATGGCCACCAGCTTCTTCATCCTCACGTCATAGTTGTCCCACTCACAGATGATCTGTGTGTACACAGAGGTTAAATCACTCCTATCCATCCACTCTATCAGTCTCTTACCTGCTGGCAGTGGGCCAGATTGCAATAGGCATCTGGAAAGTCTGGCTTCAGCTTGAGGGCAGTGCGGTAAGAGAGCACAGCCTCTGGGATATTGCCAGAGTCCTGCACAACAAAAATGGGGCTGTGTGGCATCGGGTGTGCTATGATATAGCCAACCTACCTTATGAATGGAAGCCAAGTTGCTGTGAGCATCTGCAAAAGCTGGGTTGATCTGGATGGCTCTGGTATAGCATTGAAGGGCAGCTTGCACATCTCCCATCTCTTTGAGAGTATTGCCCATGTTGGAATATGCATCGGCAAAAGTTGGAGAGATCCTACACAGAAGGATGATCAGTCATCTCAACTCGACATCTAGTTAGGTACTGTTTCCTTACCTTATAGCCTCTTTGTAGTGTAGCAGGGCTTCGTTAAGTTTTCCTTGTTGCTGAAGTACGCTGGCCAAATTAGAGTGGGCAGCTGCAAATTCTGGGAACACCTGTGACATCACAACATGAAGTACTCCACACAGAGAGGGATGAGACAAAGGGTATACATACTTCCAGAGCCTTCAAGTAGAGCCTGGTAGCTTCTTCAATCATTCCTTGCTCCCGTTTGATGTTAGCCAGGTTGTTTAGAGAGTCTGCGTGGGATGCACAGAGCCGCAGGGCAGTGTTGTAGCATTCCTCGGCCTCACGCACCAATCCTTTTTCTTTCAGGGCATTCGCCAAGTTACAGTAGGCATCAGGGAAGTTGGGCTGTAACTCAATGGCCCGCTTGTAGGTGTCAATAGCCAGGTCCACAAGCCTGCAGCAACCGGAATATTGGCCTACAGTTCCTGTTAAATAACCTTTCCTATTTTAGAAGACACTATGTGCATAGCACTAGGCTGCGAGGAGCAATGATACTGATTCAATTCAACAGGATCACTTCAGGGTGATATCTTCAGCAGCGTAACACCCACCACTCTATTGATAGCAAAAACCAAGACTGGAGTCTGGGCTCAATCTAGATGTCCTACCTAACAAGAACAAACTCAAGTTTGATACTATCCAAGCCGGTTATGGGAGAAAGACATGGATTTATTTAAATGTAGGAGCACTCACCCTTGTTCATAATAGACACAGGCCAGGTTTCCATGAACCACTGCGTTGTTAGGACTGAGGTTGAGGGCCCTCAGATAGGCAGCAACAGCCCTATCACACAGTTATAGTCGCCTGGGAGGAGACACAACTTCAGTCCTACCTGTCAAATATCCTTGCTTCTTTCAGAACATTGCCCAGATTGATATAAGCATCCAGGAAGTTGGGGTCAAGTGCCACAGCCTTCAAAAACAGAGTACCAAGTTTAACCTTGTAAATGTGAGTGGGCTAAAAAATCGTCATTACCTTTTCAAAATGGTGAATGGCTAGCCAGATCTCTCCTTGAGCATTGAAGACGCAGCCTAGGTTACTCCAGGCTACAGCGAAGGAGGGGCATGTTTCTATGGCTTTCAGGTAGCATGCCTAAGAAGGAAAGGAAGGGGGTGGGGGAACACACATCACAGTTAAGACTTCATCATCACTCAGACATTCATCAAGCACAGCCAGTGAGCCCGCAGCGCAGCAATGGGGGGGTCGGGCGCGCACGCAAGCAGTGCAAAGCCTCGCAGCTTTCATCCTGAAAGGAAGCATAAAATATACCATCTACAGGAACCACATTTATGCTCTAATAAACTTTTTAAATAGAGACTATGAAAAGTCAAATCCTACTCTAAAAATTAGCACATTCCTCTCACAAGATGATACCATTCCATGTTCCTAGCAGGATGACGCGCAGCACGCAACGCAAAGCCTTCGCAGCGCTGCGCAACGCAGTGCAGGGATAGGTTGGCTCACTGGACTGTGGGATAAAATCGCAGCGCTGCATGTGTGTGTCAGTGTTTGCTAACTATAACTCTTAATTATTTAAAAAGAAAAACTATTTTAAAATATTAAAATTAGAAATTTTAAATTGTGACTAAAAGAAAATTAGGAGCTACAATAAAAGAGTGTGGTGTTTTAGGTGTGATGTAAAATGCGATGATACCACCAAGCGTTACCACTTGTAGGGGCAGCAGGTTCGAAGTCAATCAGCCGCAACGTCTTCCACGGGGAGGATGTGCCTAACATAATGTCATCTACCAGCTTTGCAAGAAAAAAAAAAGTCGGTTAGTTTAGTTGATGCAGAGGGTTGGGGTCCAACAGGCTGTAAAACATCTTCCCAAAGCTTGTCTCTGGCACAGGACGGAAGCACCTGAGTACCAAAGACAAGCTTTGTGGAATTAGTTCAGGTCATTTAGCATACACAAGGCTCTTGTCATACCTGCAGCCACCGTCCTACTGCTCTGGAATCACAACATTAACCTACCCTCCTCGGCTGCAGATACAACAAAGGTGGTTGAAGGGACAAAAGAGCAACAAAAGTAAGAGGAAACTACATCCAATTTGCATTTGGTCTTTTTTTTTTTTAAGGATAAAAAAACTGATTGTTTGAAATGAAAATTTAGGTGCCTACAAATATTATTTTTATATAGAGAAATGTATGATTTTGAAAAAGAACCAATATATGGTCAGAAAAAAAAATAATTATACTGTAAGCAAAAGTCTAGGAGTTCTAAATATTTATAATATTTTCAATAAAAATATTTATGAACATAAACTAAATAGCCTATTATCATTTGAAAAAAAAAAATGGAGATTAGAAAGTGAACTAAGGTAGGGAGGGACCAGAATGCAAAGTGGATGATGAAGGGGGAGTGTAAGAGGGGAGAGAGAGGAGGCAATCTGTGGAGATTGGAGGGGGGAAGGAGAATAAAACCCTTGCTCATTCCAGATTATCTCATTCAATGGCCTTATCTAAAACAAAATTTTGCTTTTAAAGATCACTTTAGTTAAGTTATTTCTTCAACTTATTAAAATCGGGTCTGCCATAAAGTTGAGTTGTCTTAGCAGCAATTCGCAGCGCAGCGCGGTTCGCAAGAAATGAAGGAGTGTTTGTGGCAACATTTGTCAAAATTCTCACAGCTCACAATACATTTTAAAAAAATAATAATAATAACTTAATGGATACCCTCCTTCACTTCTTTTAGCAGATGAGAATCCAAAACTTTAGCCAAGTAGAGTGGCAAAGTATTGTTTCCCATTGATCACCCAAGGGAACGTGAAGCCTAGCCTCACCTTCTCTTGGGTGACGTATGCAAGCTTGTCGCAGCAAGTAGACACCTCGGGATCCAAACTGAAACTGATATTTAGCGCAACAACTCAACTTGCGCCACTAGAGGCCTCTGAAATGAGCAGGGAGTAGCAGGATATGGATGGGATGTAAATAAACACAAGCTTCAGTCAGATTCAATACCTTGGCTTCATCAAGTCTTCCTAGAGCTTTTAGTAAATTTCCCAGATCACTTCTAACACAATACAGATCCTGGGCACACATCAATCAGTGGTTTAACAACACAAGCTCCACTGGATGACCTGGGTGTTTGGTGATGCCAAACCAATATTTTTTACATATAATCAAAATACCTTTTTCTTTCTCTATTTTTAGGTGTTTTTCAGTGACTTCCTGGCACTGAAAGGTCGGGAGTTGAAATAAACTATTGGTTAATGTGGCTGTGATTTTCTATTTAGTTATTATATAGACATTTGAAAATTTTATAACTATAAAATCTTAATGATGTAAATGGAGGTTATATATATAAATGTTTGCATAAATTATTTTAAATATTCAAATATATAATAAATATATGGACAGTTAAAGGATTTTTTTAAATTTTGCATCATGTGATAATCCCTGAGAAGCATGGCTTATTGTGGCAATCTGAGTAGTAAAATATTTGCTTTCTTTTTCAGGCACCTTTTACCTTTTTTACATTTACTAGGAAAAATGCTGCACACAATAATATTAGGTTTGAATTTTTCATCTTCAAATTGTTCTCAGTGAAGTGTCTCCTCTTCTAAGCAATTCTCAGTTTGAATTGGCAAGCTTCTTTTCGCTTGCTTGTGGAAGGGTTTGCTTTTATAATCTTTTAAAAGTCCATTAATGACTTCTTGTTTAAATTATTTTCAGATTAAAAAAAATGAGGGAAAATGTTACCAGTCTTTCTCAAGCCAACCCAGCCAGTGAAAACAAACAAGGATCAAATTTCCCAAGCCTGGCAAGCAGAAATGAGTCAGCAGTGTCATATTTTAATGGAGTGACTAGCATTGACAGAAAGGATTAAATTTGTATAGCATGTGGCTCCCGACCCTACAGACTGAACATTCAAAGCAACTATCGTCACCTCCCACAACCAAAAGGTTAATTTTAAATCTCCCAGGAGAATCCTACGTAAGACTGTCTCAATAACAATTTTGCAAGTGTTTTGTGATACTACCAATAAGGACAGATAACACAATTGAGCTTAAAAACAGTATAATATACAATACATAATTGAACACCACCTCGAGGAGCATGAACTCATGGAATTCGTGTAAGCTTTACACAAGGAGATAAGAAACAACAACATTGAACACAACACTGTTCTGTGACCTTATATAACCCAAGCTCACTCTAAGCAGAGCATTTAATCCGGGAAATAAAAACACAAACTGGAAAATGAGCTCCAATAAACAGGAAAACACTTTTAGGCAGGAGTGTTTTTAAAAAGTTTTACTGTATTTAGCTTTGAAAAAAAAATCTCACAAATAATGATCATTAAATCTTTTAGTTGTTTAAAAATATAATAAAAATACTTTTTATATCTAAAATTTGGCTTAGTGAAAGAAAAACTAAATCTTAGGGAGTCCCAACCAAAAATTGAGATATACCATTGTGGTCTAATAAGAATTGGGGTCTCTTTGCTAAAGGTGTATTTTAGATAGGAAGAGGTAATTTGTGTAAGTTAACTTAGAGCTATAGGGAAAACAAACATTTTTAAAATGCAACAAGATAGACAACATTATTGTGCCGGAGCAGTGTATTTGAGCACATCACCAAATGGACCATTTTCACAAAGCAGCACATCTGGGGAGGTCTTTACTTTTCTCTAAATCCACAAATAAAAGGCACTTTAGTAAGAATCAATTGCCTACAAGCAACAAGGACACAAATAATTCAAACCAATTTTTGGCACAAAAAAAGAATAGTTTGACCTACAAATAAATGGGCCCTTTCTAAAATGAACTGATCAGAGATGAGATGGGTAGATTCCAGCCATTCCTGGTGGTGATACCTACTTCCCCTGAGTTAGCTTCTGCCTTGTTACAATATCCTTTGTACCAAAAGGCCAATTCCCCTTTATACCATCCTCTTCCACAATCTTGTATTTTATATGTGAACAAAATATATCTGCGGTACAAGACAATAATAGCTGTTTTAGAACTAGTTATAATTTTTATTGTGTTTCATAATATTTATACACTTCCTATTTGTAGTTAGTGATAAGTAACAATAAGTATATGATAATCCATTCCTACATTACAAGCAGTATTTTTAGTAGATTTCTCATATGTGGATTTAAACTGATTATACTAATGAGGGGGCGTGAATTAGGTTTAGGAATGTATTTTTTAACATAAATTTTTACATTTTCTAGAGATATTCCAGTGTTCTAATATGTATTGCAAAAAAGACGTGTAATTTTGTGATAATCTTATCAACACTTGACTTGGCCCTCAACCCATAGGGTTATTAAAATACTTATAAAAAAAATCCCCGATTCTTTCCAATGAGTGTAAGTAATCAAACAGCAGTTTTTGTAGGTTAAAATTCCAAACTGCTTCAGTGTGCATAGTGTAGCAGCACTTTGAGCATAAGTACTCCTACCCTCAGGATTATCTTGGTTTGTACCACGTGTGTCAACTTACAGGGTTGTATTGTAGGGCCGAGACGTAGGCCTGGACGGCCTGCTCCATGTCTCCGGCTGCCACCAGAGCAGCGGCCAGGTTGATGTAGCCATCGATGAAGTCCGGCTTGAGGCGGACAGCATGCCGGTAGTTCTCCAGGGCCTCTGTCAGCTGTCCCCTCTCCTTGTAGACGTTGCCCAGGTTGGAGTAGGCCTCAGCCAGCATGGGATTCTGCTTGATTGCCAGAGTGCTGAAGTGGGCCGACCTGTCACAGTCTTGTTGAGCTCCCATGTGGCAGCAACCAGTGGCGGCACTCACTTGTCCAGCCTACGGCACTGGAAGTGGATGGAAGAGAGGAGCAGTAGCACCCCGGTGTGGTTGGAGTCCTGCCTCCAGAGCTGCATGCAATGTCGCTCCGAGCTGTCATACTCTCCTGCCTGGTACTCCCGGTGGGCCAGGTCTGCTAGGTCTGTCCCACACAGTGTGCCAGGTCAACTATAGGGAACCAAACTTCCTAGATAGTAGTGGATCAATGTTGCTGTGTGATCTATAGGAATCTTATTCTTCTTCTTCCTTATCTCCACTCAATCATATTAAGGGTGTCAAGCTTGTAAAGCTTGAAATTGACAACCATCATGATTGGGTGAAGTAGAATGTGTATGCCTTTGTCATTAAGACTGGGAGCACTACTCAGTGGCAGGCCGACTTAGCTCCAAAAGAAATGGCCGCCTCTGACATGAGGAACAGACACCATGTGCAGCCGCTCCCCTAACATGGAGTACAAATGCTGCTCTATATCTATAGGAATAAATATTAAGAGTAAAGTATTATTTAGTTACAGTCTATATAATAAATATCTCTGTGCACACATTCAGTTTTTGGACTAGATAGAGCTTATTGAAAGGAAGGTTTCAAAAACACAAGCTGAGGAACTGCTGCCACAATAGGGAGGTGCTCCCATTCACCTAACTATAGCAGTCAACATTTGAATAACTCCATATTTTTCTATCAAAACATCTCTTAAATAACTTTAAATGAATTTGCTTTTAACTAAAAAAATATTTTATTAGAAAGTGATATTGCAGGTAGCTGTCAACTAGCTGGAAGCCAATAATTGTGGCCTTGTCAAGTACCACGGAGGGAGTGAGGAGCTTACTTTGAAATGCTGCAGCAGCTGCTGTGGTCATCTCGGAGGTCCGAGTCCGTTTGTTCACTGCTCCTGGACACATTTGCACAGAGTGATCATCCAGATTGT